GAATCATAAGATAAGAGTTAAGGCGATTATTTCAGATTGATCGGAACAAGTAGATGTAGCAAATAAATAGAATTGGGTGCTATGTCAATTCCACACAATACAGGGAATTTATATACACATATATGAAGAGAATATTGTAGATTGATCTATATAAAATGAAGCCTCTATCTTTAGTTTAGAGTAGAACTTTATAGACTAAGAGATAGATGGTATGATAAGAAAGATTCATCTATTTCTTTCTTACCATACTATCGAATTCATAAAATACTGTCAATTATAGCTCGGTCATTTCATTTAAAATGCAAAATTTGAATCCTTTTCATTTTACTTCATCCATTTTTTATAAGAACTTAGAAGAAAAGTTTCATTCAAATGAATTTGAAAATTGAATTGAATTGAATTAATCATTTTGACTCACTGTTTTTACGTAAATGATAAGTAGAAAAGCGGTAGGAACTAGAATGAATAGTGCAGTCGCAATAAATGCAAGAATATTTACTTCCATAATCTCATCGGTTTTTTTTACTTCACAATAACTTGGGATTTAATCCCATAGAGATGATAAATCTTTCGCCTGTAAATTCAATAAAGGAATTACCTCTCGACGATCTTGAATCGGATCAATATCATGAATAACAATATCTGAGCTATCAAATCAATTCGTCGTCGAGACTTGAATAGTATAACATAGGAAGTTCTTTTTATCCATATCGAATCCAAACTTGGATTCCTGACCCAATCAATCCAAAATTCCTTTATTTATCATTTGTTTCCCTTCTTTTTTCTATAACGTACCTTACTTCTTCCTTGTACAATCATCAGATGATACTTCATGAGATTGCCTCTGCATTTCGATTAGTCACATAGTTACAAGCCCAAACAAATAAGAAAAGCGAAATGAAAAAAGAGTGTTAAGTTCTAAACTCCTTGTGATTTTTTGGAAGACGAAGACAAAGAAGTTTGATAAAGATGAGGCCCGTATAAAAGATCTAATATCAGTATTTTAGGGTTTGTTATTTCTTCGATGGGACCTTAAAAAAATGGAAAAATAGGAAAGAAAAAAAGCCCCTTTTTTTTGGAAATTAAATTCTGGCCCCTGACATCCTTTCATAGAAAGGGAGAAATTAATTGATGTATTTATTGGATCCGTCGGGACTAACAAGGCTCGAACCCACATCTTCCGCCTTGACAGGGTGGTGCTCTGACCAATTGAACTACAATCCTAGGGAAATAAGGGATTTAGTAGAAAATTTTATTCTTTTTTGATCTTTTTATTTTTTATGGGGTATTTCGGAAGGACAATGGGGTTATACCATCTCATGGTAGATTGGCAAATTATTGGGTCGAGCTGAATTTGAACCAGCGTAGGCATATTGCCAATGAATTTACAATCCTTCCCATCAACTGCTCGAGCATCGACTAGGAAGAATCCACTTTAGGCTTATTGGTAATCTATGATCAACTTCCTTTCGTAGTACTCTATCCCCAAGGGAATTTGAATCCCCGCTGCCTCCTTGAAAGAGAGATGTCCTAAACTCCTAGACGATGGGGGCTGACTTGCCCAACCGTCCTCATACTATGATCATAGTATGAACAGTTTTTTGAAATTGTCAATATAATGGAATGGTATGATTAGACTCGCGAGATCTTTCTATTTTTCAGAATTGTATAGAATTTTTTGATTCATCATCCATATTCATGAATCGTTCATTGGAATATTAGAATTGCTAAATAGAGAATAGAAATCTATATTCTTTCGAATAATTTTATTTCTAAAAAAAAAAAAGAAATACAAAAAACTAAAAATAATATGAGGGACAGGATTTGTCCAGGGAAAGATTGGTCCGTCAGAAAACAAAAAGGAGGGTTAATTTGGATTTTTTTGTTTTCATTCATTGTTAAGATGAGATATCCTTATCTCTATCTCACACTAAGACGGAAAATTAACAACCAATAAATCTAGTAAGCGGGATCAAAAAGTTATTAAAAATTTTCTCTAAGAATTTAGTTCAGGGGACAAGTAGAATATCTTCATCACATGAAATATCTTGAAATTTATGTAAAATTGTTAAGTGTACACATATGTTATATATCAATCAAATGAATTTTGTTTTAATGGGGATCAATTCAATAAAAGAAATTAGGGTCGGTCTTGAATTCATTTTATTTTACCCTAGACTTACTAGGTAAATCCATTTGATTATTCAAGAATCAGCCACTAGCCACTATGAGTCTACTGCATGTACTTATGTATATAATATATGTACATATAGAGATTTTATCTAAATAGTGACTCATTCAGGAATTAAATCAAATAAGCCCTTTTAACTCAGTGGTAGAGTAACGCCATGGTAAGGCGTATGTCATCGATTCAAATCCGATAAGGGGCTTTGGTTTTTTCATAAAAGTGCAACCATAATATTCAGAAAATAGAGACATTTTTTTTTATTTGGAATAAAAAAGTAACTAACTGGATAATACGTTATCATTATATTGAGTTAGAGTATAGTAGTTCTAGTTAGAAAGTTGAATATTTTTCAGTCAATTCTTATTATTATGAATAATGATAAGCCGCCTCTTGAATCACTAAAGATCCCTATTTTACATTATACCAATCAAATTCATTGGAAAGATTCGAGATCAACAAAAAAAAAATGTGAGTGGACCTA